AAGAATAACCATGCATGATTCTTCCAAAAAGGCCATTAATAATGGTAACAAACATATAATTAATATTTACTGGATGGCAAAAAAAAAAATATTCCAATTTCCAAACTTCCAAGTCTTATTTATATCTTAAAACTTATAGAAATAGTGCACTCAATTCGATTTTCTAGTGTAGATTGTGAAAAAAGTTTTAGCAAACAGAATATTATCAAATGTAATGTAATGAAAAATGACACATTGCACATGTTAATGATGGTTGGTTTAGAAGGTACTGATTTATTTGGTTATGATTTTAGTGATGCTCTTGGTAAAATTTTTCAAAGTGAAAACAGAAGAATAAAGTAAAGAAATTTTAGCACCCAAAAAATTTTCCTTTTTTTAAAGTTTTCTTCCGGAAAATTTTTAGCATTCAGGAGAAACTTCCGTTTTTTTTTTTTTCAGACCCTATTTCCAGCCCTGCATTTTACTATTAAAATGTATGTCGATCCTTTCCGTTTATCACGAATTGCGAATTAACTAATTTCGACGTTATACGAATAAAAATAAAAACATACTTACGCAATGCAAGCTTATGCTATGCAAGAACAAAAATTAATTTATTTTAAGTTGGGTTCGGATTGCATCTTCTTTGTTGCATATATTTTAATGCCTTTTAAAACACAAGAGCTCAAAAAGTTTTTTAATATGGTGATAATTGGGCTACGCATGTAAAAAGAAATGTGTGTAGAGAGAAAGAAAATACCAGAAAAGACACATTATTACCTGTTCCTTCAACTAATTTTAAATGGTGATACCACCAAAAAAAAGATTTGTTGAATTCAGGATCCAAGATCGGTTTTTTTTGTATAAGGAAATATGTACATGCATAATATTAATCTAAAAATTATAACTCGTGAAAAATATCGAGCATTTTTTACCTGGTAAAATAACATATCGCTCAGAAGTATTATATATAATCATGAGACCTGATGCTACATACCTGTGTGAATGAATATTTAAATGGCTACCTCAGGCAATCGTTGATAATGGAA